TGGTTAGGAACCAACCTATCTATCCCCACTCACCTAAATCAGGGGAAAGCCTGAATCTTATGGCAGGATTCAGGCTGCCCATCCCCATCTAGGCTAGGGTTGCCACAGATCAAGCCTGTGTGGCATAAAGCTGCCATGGGCCTGATCTGTATCGGTATCAACCTGCGTGGACAGTGTAGATGTGCCCCATGTCTCCTGATCATTTTGATTACCCTTTTCTGCATCTTCCCAAATCTACAATATTCCTTTTCAGATGTGAATACAACTGGACATTGTATTACAGACACAATTGCACCATAGGTTTGTATCACATAGTATAATATTGGCTGTTTTAGTTTTTGTTTCCTTTCTAGTCATACCCAACTTGGAATTGGCATTTACTTTTTATAGCATCTACACTCTGGGTGTCATTTAATACAGCTATTTACTGCAACCCCAGGATCACTTTCTTCATCAATCATTGGATTCCATTAAAACATATGTGAAATTGGGATTTTTTAAAGAACCCTGGTATGCAAATAGATCCAATACTCCTTGCAGCCTGGTTTGATTTGTGGTATAGCACATGGGTACTGTAAAGAGGAAATCCCTACCATAACTCCACATAATGAGAACTACAAAAATAACAGGCTGTCTGTGTAATTCAGTAAATCTGTTTGAGCCCCTAGAGTGGGATGACAGCACAGACTCACACCTTCATCGAACCAGGTATGCTTTTTGGAAAACTGAAGAAAGCCAAATCCTAGCCATAAAATACGTGAGGTTTCTTGTCAAGCGGCAATTTTGCACTTGGCAATTTGCCTTGGTCTTCCTCTTGCTTTTCTCTGTATATTGCTTTCACTCTTTCTCATTCACATGAATCAGTCAGTTGCTGTTTGAGCTTTGACACTTTGACTGCTAAATACTTGTTCCTGACAAATCCAAATTCTTGGCTGGAAGACGCTTTGTTTTGGCACTTTTCTGGATCCTTGAACTTTGCACAGGCTTGTCTCCAACCACATTAGGGATGCTTCAATGTGCAACCGACAAAGAACATAATCTCCATAAGACTATAAGTTGCTAAAATTGTTTAATAGATAAAAAAATCTTTTAAATTTAGATTTCTTGATGGCGACATCTTTTCCCCCAGAAAGTGCATTCTGGGGGGAAAAAACAACCTAAAAGAAATCTTGGATTGTCAACAGAGGAAAGGGAGAAATGATTTGACAATATGATTATCTGTGAAATTATGACCTTCTCTCCAAAGGAAGCAAGAATTACATTTGGTGAGTTGGACTTTGAGTGCATAAATGTACGCCACTGTTGACAGAAGAAGGAATAATGAATTGTGGCAGAGGTACTGTTATTCCAGCTTGTGGGAAAATAAGCTTTTGTGAATTTAATCCAGTATCTTTCTCCAAGAAACATATCTCATAAGTTTCGAGCTCTGAGAAACGGAACAAAGAAGATGACAGTGAACATTCACAAGTGCAGTGGATGTGTGTTATGTCATATATAACAACCACTGAATATTGGAGAATTGCCAAGAACAGGGTGTTTGGGGGGGGGGGGGGAAGCAACTCACTAGATCACCTGACCTCTCTTAAATGTGAAGTTGCAGGATTGCCCTGCAATTGTCATAAGGGCCAAAATACATACTATATCTTGGTATAGCTATCAAATGATGTGTGCACCCACTTTCAAATTCACAGAGAGACCAGAGATTCTTAAACTTTTCCACATGTGATCCCTTTCAGCCCGGAAATGTTTTACATGATTTCAGGTATATAAAATATGTATACAAATCAAACATCCACTGATAACAAATCAGTATTTGCAAGGTTTGATAAACAGGCTAATTTTCCTTTTTATGAAGTACAGCTGAAGTATCTTCTGCAGAGTCCATTATAAACACTGCACAACAGATTTGTGTAAATATCTAGAACAGCCACCAGGTGAAGTTCGGAAAGCTTTTACTGTAGCCAAAACTTTTGGGACCCCAACATTGAGCTAAGGGGACTCCATTTGTGGTTGGGACCTACAGTTTAAGAAGCAGTGATACAGACTACCACTATCAAATTTCAAGAATCGAGGACCAGCAGTGGATGATGTGGCAGTGAAGAAAATGATATCAGAGGCAATTTTGTACCTTTCTCTGAGAACTTACCGACTTAAGTTACAAAACCCAAATTGGGCTAGATGTTTCTCCTAAGCATCCTGATGGTATCCAGGGACTTCCAGCCCTTAATGCACTTGTTAACTTAGTCTTGTCCTGTACTAGCTGAAGTCAGGAAATGTTCTGGAGCTACCTTCAAACTCCGGACTTTGAGGTTGGTATGAACATCTGGGCCAGTTCTAAATCAAACCAGCCTAGCTGTTTACACAAGCCAGTGCAGCCATCCCATTTTCTCTCCATGGTGAAAATGGTGTCTTTATTGGTGTGCCAGTATCCACGGAAATCTGGAGAACACTTGGTTATTGCCCAATGTCTTTACTGTCAGAAAAGTTGCACACACAGCTTGATGAATGGAGAGAGGAAAGTAAGGGGGTAATCCCTCTTCTTTCTCCAAGTCATGGAGGTGCCTTTGCTGACATCGGCAAAGATGTCTGGAAACAGCCAGGATCTCTATGGAATGCTTATGGCTACTTCCACAATGACAAACAACAAAAAGAGTAATGGTGACTCCTCAACATGCGTAAACCAGGTTCGGCCTGACTGGTTTGTTTAGTATCTCAGGACTTATCTACACAAACTACGAGGTCTAGGGCTGGTACTTAGTGGCAATTCTCTGGATCAAGCCACTGGGAAGCTACACTGCTATTGCAGCAGGATGGAGTTGGCAGTGTAGCTGCCCCCAGGGCTGATCCAGAGAATTTCCATTATGAACTGGCCTCATTTTTTGTGGTCCATATAAAAGGGTCCTGAGATATTAAACAAATGTAACAGAAAAGGGAAAGAAGAGGCATAAACAGAGGTATATCTCAGTTAATAAAGTCCCTGCTCATGAAGCTTATATTCTCTATATATAAAAATGTAATGTTAATTTGTGGGGTTTTATCATGGCCTTGGGCCTGTACAATAAATTATTTTTGATTGATTGACATTTGTGGGGACAACATAACTCATAAATCACTGAACGAATTGACATGAAATACACCAATCAAGCCAACAAGTGACCATAACTCACAAAAACACAAAAAACACCACAGCAACAAGTACAAATATTAATAATAATAATAAAATCCATCAATATAAATGTAATGTGTTTATGGTTTCAATGTTTTAAGTGTAATTATCATTTTTCTATAGCATTTCTATCTCTGTTTACTACAAGGCAAACTAAATATGCAGGTAAGTTGGTCAGTTTTTATTATCTGATATCATCAAATTGTCCACGTGCCTTAAAGTTTCGTGTCAGATACCAGAGTTTTGAAATATTTATGAATAGCTTTGTTCCTGATCTGGGGAGCGAATCATTTAAGATAGACAGATGATATTCAATAGCTGGCCCACAGTTTTCAGGATGCTGATGAGTCTTCTAAAGATCTTTCAATTAAGTGGACTATTTTACCGTGATGCAACTTGAAAATGTTGGAGATAATGGGTGAACAACTGCTTAGTAGCTTTGGGTGGGAACTGGATAATCATCTCATCTCGGTGTAATTTGCATCTTATATAATTACAAGCCCTTGGTCGAGTCAATTAACCTCAAGATAATAGGTGATATGAAAAAAAATGCACTGTTGGTTATATAACAAAACGAATCCTGGTGTTGTCAATCCACTGGCTTGCAGTGGTGTTTGCTACTTCCCCCCCCCCCCCCCGGGCTGGGAGTTGATAAAAAAAAATTAAATTGCTCCAGATTTTTGACAAAATGTCTGTTAGAAGTAAATGGCAATACTGTACAATTAGGCAATGAAACCAGTAAGGAAATAGTAAAAATGTTATATAATTATAAAGTGCCACTAATAAAAGTAATGCAAACTAGAACCAAATTTGTATAATATTCTTGAACTCTTTTAAAAAAACCAACGGTTGGCAACTGATTTAGAACCCTATCCTGTAGTTATCTAATAAGTATCTGTATCTGTAGTTATTCTGGAGTAGCCATCCCCTGTCATGTGTTGCTGTGGCCCAGTCTATGTATATGTGTTTTGTGGGTGTATATGTGTGTATATTTGTACATATGCGGTTTTGTGCATGATTGTAATGGGTTTTTTTTAGCTTTTAAAGTCTCTTCCTCAGTGTTTTTCTTTTTTTTATGAGTGATGGTCACTAATTGGCCTGATAGGTGTACTGTGTCCAAATTTGGTGTTAATTCATCCAGTGGTTTTTGAGTTATGTTAATCCCACAAACAAACATTACATTTTTATTTATATAGATAAACTTGCCTGTTTATATCTCTGTGGAATGTCCAGAGTGGGAAACAATCTGGACCAGCTAACACCTCCCAACAAAGGATCCCCCAGACAGGAAGCAGTCAGGCTTTGAAGCTGCAAGGCCATTCAATGCTAATCAAGGTGGCCAATACTGTATATAATTTTCCTAGTTTCCAACAGAACTCACAACCTCTGAGGATGCCTGCCATAGATGCAGGCAAAACATCAGGAGAGAATGCTTCTGGAACATGGACCTACAGCCCAGAAAACTCACAACAACCCACTCATCACTTTTTGCTTACAAATTTGCCGTCATTATACAAACACGCTGAAAATCTGCTATGTAAGAATTTTAGAAGGCTGCATTATCTCCTGTGCTGAGTTCCTTATGGGATGAAACTTTTTTTAGGCTATACTATTTCCCAGGAAGCAGTGTTATATTTATGAGGCAGAACTGTGTTTCTTTGTCCAGCTCCTTTAGTGCTGTGTTGGTGGGTTGTATCATTAACACTTACCGCTGCAGAATTTTCGTTTACATGAGCCTAGGATGCAATACATGATAGTAGTTAGTCAGTAACCTTCCCAGCCTGATGGGTTCAATATCTGCTGCTGTACCTTTAAACTCTGGCACCAAACCAGCAAAGTGAGAACAAGCTGTGTGAGGTCCAGCCCTCCAGAGCTGCTCCAGAGAGAAAGGCAGCCTTGGCACAGGGATCACTGCCCGGCTGAGGCTCCATCCAGCAACATGGCAAAACACAGAGCCCCTTCTCTTCTGCTGCTTGTCCTCACCCTGGTCGGCTTATCCTTCGCCCGCCGAAAGCTCCTGCTGTTCTTGATTGACGGGTTTCGGCACGACTACATCAGTGATGAAGTCCTGGAATCCCTGCCTGGCTTCCAAGGCATTGTGAACAGGGGAGTGAAAGTGGATTACCTGACCCCAGACTTTCCCAGCCTCTCCTACCCAAACTATTACACTCTAATGACAGGTGAGTACTTTCTTTGACTTTCTCACTAATGCTCTTAACATCCTGCGGACTTAATTGCTGCAGATCATGTAGGGTCACTTGGTTCCCCGCAGACAGTTAACACTATAGGGATGGAGACAGACAAAAGCTTTCTGGTGAACATTCAGCTTCAGTAAAAGTTGAGAGTCATGTCTGGGATGAACTGTAATGAGACAAATCTCTCGTGTTTTCTACATTTTAGTGCCATGGAAGATGCTTTTGGTGCTTCAACAATTTTGTCAACTAGTTTGACATTGTTCACTTGTTTCAAAAAACAGTATAAAAATTCAACAAGACCAAGTACCCTTTCACACAGACATATAATCCAGGATATCAAGGCAGAGAATCCACAATATCTGCTTTGAACTGGGCTATCTTGAGTACATATTGCCATATAATACAGAATATAAAAGCAGAGAATCCACAATATCTGCTTTAAACTGGATTATCTGAGTCCACACTATAATATAACCCAGAATATCAAAGCTCAGAATTGACAATCTCTGCTTTGAACTGGATTATCTGAGTCCACACTGCTATATAACCGAGAATATCAAGGCAGATAATTCCCAATATCTGCTTTGAACTGGATAACCTGAGTCCACACTGCCATATAATCCAGAATATCAAGGCAGAGAATCCACAATATCTACTTTGTACTAGATGATCTGAGTCCACACTGCCATATAACCCAGAATATCAAGGCAGAAAATCCACAATATCTGGTTTGCACTGGATTTTCTGAGTCCACACTGCCATATAACCCAGTTCAATATGGATTTTATACCGCTGTGTTGAAGGGGCCAGTGTTTTCTTTTTAATAAATTTTATTCCTGGATTTACTGTAATGAGACAAATCTCTTGTGATATTTCTATGTCACTCTCATAAAAGAGCACCTGAATAATCTAGTTCAAGATTGCTCACTTGTTGCAAAGACTCCCAGCATAGAATACAACAGAAATGAGCTTTTAATAAACTTTTTATTTTTAACAGCACCTTGTAATGACCATAATATGAAATGATCTAACTGGAATTTTCTTCCCAGGGAATAATATCTAGTATTAGTAAAAGTAATTAATGATTCAAAGATCTAGAATAACTTTCTCAGTTTGGACATATTGCATCACTAGAATATTATCTTATGATGTGCATTCTTCCCCACTTCTCAAAATAACCAATTCAAATTTATTCTGTGAATCGCTAAAAATGGGCATTCATGTTTGGGGGAAAGTTTTTTTTTCCTTCATGAGATCACACATTGTTTAACCAAGTAAAGGAAAATGCCAAACAGAAATAAAAACAAAGGATGTTCTCTTTATTATCTTCCTTTCCTTTTTGTTTAACTTTTTTTTGGCGTACAATAATGCAAATGCATTTATGGTTGATCTACACAGTAAATATTGGGTTGCTGTGAGTTTTCCAGGCTGTGCAGCCATGTTCCAGAAGCATTCTCTCCTGACGTTTCACCCACATCTGTAGCAGGCATCCTCAGAGGTTATGAGGTCTGTTAGAAATTGTTGGAATCTGTGGAATGTGCAGGGTGGGAGAAGGAACTCTTGTCTGTTTGTGAATGTTGCAATTGGCCAGCTTGATTAGCATTGAATGGCCTTGCAGCTTCAAAGCCTGACTGCTTCCTGCCTGGGAGACTAAGAGGTGTTAGCTGGTCCTGATTGTTTCCCATCCTACACATTCCACACATAGATAAACCTCACTTGCCTAGTTTCCAACAGACCTCGCAACCTCTGAGGATGCCCGCCATAGATGTGGGTGAAATGTCAGGAGAGAATGCTTCTGGAACATGGCCGTACAGCCCGGAAAACTCACAGCAACCCAGTGATTCCAGTCATGAAAGCCTTCGATAACACAGTAAATATTGTCTGTGTGAAAATCCTGGATGGCACTTAAGTAAATAGTGTAATATACCGTTAACTTTGGGGTTTGTTTCTAAAAATTAGCATGTTTAATGATTTCAATATATGCCATAAAGAATATATATTTTGTCGAAAGCTTTCATGGCCGGAATCACTGGGTTGTTGTAGGTTTTTTCGGGCTATATGGCCATGTTCTAGAGGCATTCTCACTACCTCTGAGGATGCTTGCCATAGATGCAGGCGAAACGTCAGGAGAGAATGCCTCTAGGACAAGGTCATATAGCCTGAAAAAACCTACAACAACCCAATATATATTTTTATTCTATATGTCGTTGGTGTGCTTGTCTAGAATTCCTTCAGTATTTCAAATCCCAGTTGTAAACATTTGTGCCAACATTTATGAATGTGAGATCAGTATAAGACAACATTGTAAAACTGGCATAAAATTACGTTTTGAGACTTTGTGCTGATATTACAATAGGCACGTTGTATCATATGATGGTCTTTATAGCTGGCAGACTACTTCTTTGGGAGCCCATTCATATTACCTATCTAGTGAAGCTTTATTTACTTCAACTGAACTCCTTCAGAATTGGCAGCTTGTAGTGTTTCCAAAGTTCACTTGTACTACTTGGTCTAGTAACTACGAAGGAATGAAAAAGAAAGACAAGGAATATATCAACAGGAAATGTTTCCAGAGATTACACACATGACTCAGAAATTTAAAATCCAAAGGTACATTTTTGTACAAATTAAGGAACAAAACATTATCAAACATATGCAACAGCTGAAGCACATTCTCAGTTACTAATCGTCATCTCCAAAGACAACAACATTTCTTAGGCTAAATTGAGGGAGATTGTGGATCATCTCTGCCCAATGGAGGAAGTAGGTGAGGGCCACAGTATATAGGAACAGCCTTAAACGTTTCCGGCCCAGCTTACCTGTCTGAACGTATCTCTCCTTATGAACCATCTAGGACTCTAAAATCATCTGGGAAGGCCCTGCTCTCAGTCCCGCCTTTTTTGCAGATATGTTTGGTGGGAACGAGAGACAGAGCCTTGTCACTGATGGCCCCTCGGCTGTGGAACGCCCTTCCTAGGGATATTAGATCGGCCCCTCCCTCCTCACATTTCATAACAAAGTTAAAATTTGCCTTTTCGAGCAAGCATTTGCAAATGCAGTGTAACAGGCAAATCTAGACCTTTGGAATGACTGGAAAATTATTTTAGTAAGGAGACACTGAGGATTTATGTTTTTATTGGTTTTGTATGGTTTTTTTATATTCTATGCTAAATGCTTTAATTGTATTTTATGTTGTTGGGGGCATTGAACTGTGCCAACTGTAAACTGCACTAAGTCACCTTCGGGCTGAGAAAGGCGGTATATAAATACGGTAAATAAAATAAAATAAATAAATATTAGGATGGCAGACAATTGGTCTTAAAGTATCAAGAAGACAATCTTATTTTGGCTAACATATATGACGTGGGATTTGGCAGCTAAGCAAACCATATTTTTTTTCTTTTGTAACAGTGATGTGCAATGTTGTCCTAGTCCAATATAGGAAGAAACAAACAACACAAACAAAACTTTGTTTATATCCCACCCCATCTCCCCGTGGAGACTTTCTGTTGACAGACATTGGTTCAGGACTAGAATGACGTCCCTGGCTTTGGGTGGAAAGGAGTAATGGAGTGGGGTGTTATCTGCATAAAAATGACACTGAACTCCAAAATTCCAGATGATCTCTCCCAGTCTTTTCATGTTAATGTTAAACAGTATGAGTGACAAAATAGATCCCTGAGGGACCCCACAGGCCAAAGACCAGGGGATCGAACAGGTGTCACCCAACTCTACCTTCTGAGTTTGGTCCTCCAGGAAGGGGGCCACTGTAAAACAGTGTCGCCTAGTTCCATCCTTCCAAGATGACACAAAAGGATACTATTGCTGCTTCTTGGCAGGGGGTTGGACTGGATGGTTCACAAGGTTTCTTCCAACTCTATGATTCTATGATTCTATGAACACCACTGAGAGATCCAGGAGAACCAACCGGGACACACTCCCCCTATCTAGCTCTCTTTGTTGATCATCTACCAAGGTAACCAATGCTGTTTCAGTTCTGTAACTGGGTCTGAAACCTGATTGAAATTGATCCATATAATTGACTTTGTAGCTGAGAGGCAACCACCTTCTCCAGAACCTTGCCCAAGAAGTGAAGATTAGAAACTGGCCAGTAGTTATTTAGTGGAGTAGGACCCAGTGCTGGTTTCTTTAATAGAGTTTTTACTACAGTCTCCTTTAGGCTAGTTGGCATTAAGCCTTGTGCTAAGGAGGTGTTCACCAGCATCTTCACCCACTCTGCAAGACCCTCTCTGGCTTGTTTAATCAGCCAGGAAGGGAAAGGGTTCAGAGCACAAGTGGTCACCTTCATTTCTCCCAAGATCTTGTCCACGTCACCAGGAGAAATAGGTTGAAAAGGATCCCACAAAATAGGACACAAAATAGGACAAGCAGATACCCAAGTTACAAAGGAACATGGAATTGGAATTTTTTTTAATGGAAAGGCTAATGTGGGTAAGCTGTTTTTGCACAAACATAAGGATATGTTGTTTTGTTAGTTTTGTATTATCTGAGAGCCAATGTGATCACTTACTGCAGGGGTCCACAAACTTTTTAAAGAGAGGGCCAGGTCACAGTTCCTCAAACTGTTGGKGGGCCGGATTATAATTTGAAAAAAAAAAACATGAATTCCTATGCACGCTGCACATATCTTATTTGTAGTGTAAAAAACACTTAAAAACAATACAATAATTAAAATGATGAACAATGTTAACAAATATAAACTTATTAGTATTTCAATGGGAAATGTGGGCCTGCTTTTGGCTGATGAGATAGGATTGTTGTTGTTGTTGTGTGCTTTCAAGTCYTTTCAGACTTAGGTTGACCCTGAACGAGGGCCGGGTAAATGYCCTTGGAGGGCCGCATCCYGCCCCCGGGCCTTAGTTTGAGGACCCCTGACTTACTGAATTGACTATATTGGATCAATTGTGGTAAGCTAGGGGGCTGCACTAGCCTCTGGAGCAATCTGGATCCCCCTGATCCATATT